ATTGATTGACACGCCCAGTGATTGGTGATTTTCTAGTGCGCAACTGCGCATGACAAATTGTAATAAAATTACTTTTAACACCACCTACTATGTGGCCTTTTTACCCTAAACTGATCATATTTTTTAAACTCTAAGTAAATTCAGTTAAAAAAAAAAAGGATTTCTCTAAGTAAATAAAAGTAAATTAGGTAATCAACCCTCACTGGTCTCGGTCTCGACTCGGACTCGACCGTCTCTGGTCTCGGACTCGACTCGGACTCGAGTGAGGTGGTCTCGACTACAACACTGGGTACATATGAAGGCTATCATTGTATCCTTCCAACGCAAAGGTGTACTTCGAAAAATTTCCGTGCTTTTTTTTAACTTGTCAAAATATGGATCTGTTAGCATAGCAACATGCTACCGCCAAACTCTGTCGTGATGTAAGAAAAAAAATCTTCTTGCTTTAATTGAGAATACTATTTCATCAGCCAGTTATGTGCATTATTTATTCATATCGCATCCTGGACACACATATTTTAACAATTCATAAAGATGAATCACGGTTTGGCCATTATGATATTTCGGGAATGGAGATTTTTTTCGGTGGTGTCTTTTGGTTCTGTTTGTTGTTTTGGCATCTGATAGTCTTGCGTAGCCAGATTTTCAGACTGATGGCAGAAGGTCTGGACTCCAGCTTTCATTGGCCAAGGACTGCCCAGAGGCCGTCTTACCGACATGTAAAGCAACCAATCACAGTTTGTTTTGTTCCACGTCATGTTCAGGGGCGTTAGAATATAACATTGGTGACTCTACAATAACAGGCCGGTGTGTAAAACTTTGGACTTAAGTCTATGCCGCAAATTTTTCATACTTCATATATTTTTGAAAATCGAGAGTTCAGTTGATCCCGATAAGCGCTCATTGTCACCGTTGTAAACACAACGGCATTCTTCTTTCATGGGGGGGTTTGGCATCACGGTTGGCAACACGACACACGCGTCTCCCGGACATCAAATGATGACTTCTTAAATCCTGAAATGTTTCCAGTTACTTGTGCCATATGCCATAAGACGTTCAGCCAGCGGTCCGTGGGCGTCTGGGACTGAGACGATTGACATAGCAAGAGGTTGAATTCAGTTCCAAATTGAGTCTCCTGTGCGCAATTTGTGCAACGTGAGTTACTACCTATTTAGAATGTTCCAAATTGGTCACTTATGAGGTTCCACAGTGATGTGTATAAGTTTGGACACCCATGTTAAAGTTGCCTAAAAAGAGGAATAAAAAAATCATCTTTTGGATATTGATCTTAATGCCTTAATTAGAAAAATGAGGAAAACTCCAACCTTTAAGGACACCAATTTTCTTTGTGAA